CACTCGTACGACTGCTGCTCATGCTGAAGGGAGTCATCCTCAATGGAGGCGAGCTTAGGGTGATGAGAATGAGGCTGACGGTGGTGGTGCTGATGATGAAGATGGTGGTGGTGAGCTTCTCCAAAATGTCCGCCCAGAATCTCCTCGCCCACATTCTCCGCCTCGTCCACCTCGACCCAGCCGTCGGCAAAGGCGGCCTTATCAAAGACCTTATCAAAGGCGGCCAGCACTGAGCCTCGGTGAAAAGTTTCCTCCGGTTTTAATGCTGCTTCGGAAACGGTCGAATTTTCAATTGAGTTTGAGTGTGAGTCTTCACTCCTAGCTTCGCCGGGTTTTGCAGTAAACTGCTGATGCAAAGCGTCGGTGGTCGCCGTCATCGTCGTCATCTTCGGTTTCGCGGCCCCCTCCGCAGGAGACAGTGCCACCACTGAGACCCAAAGGAGCAAGGTTGAGAAGATGAGAAGCAGAAGCAGGAGGCCATAGGGAGCAGGGGTGGAGGTGGAGGAGGAGGAGGTCATAGTGATGGCTGACTCGAGGTTGACACAACACACTCACAGCACTCACTCAGTCGACCACTGAACTGCAAGTGCAACAGCTTCGGGTGCCTTCTAGGGAATCTTCAGCAGCAGAAAAAGCAGTACTGCACACTTCACTTACGATCTCTCTCTCTCTCTCTCTCTCTCTCTCTCTCTCTCTCTCTGTCCGTATCTGGTCTGAAGATCACCACCACCAGAAGTCTTCAGCTCAGCTCAGCTGGAGAGCAGAAGAAGGAGGTCTGGTGAGCGGGCAAGCGTGGCCGAGACACTGTGGTCGCCCCGTCATGACAATTTACCGTCCATCAAGATGATGGCCGCTGACAGCTGCTGCTGCTGGTGGTGCTCTCCTTTTGATCATCGGCTCCCCTGAAGATGATGGATGGTGGTGACAACGGCAAAAACAAAGCAAAAATTGATAGACCTGCCAGAGCAGACAGTGTGTGTGTGTGTCTACAGTAGGAACCCTACGCATGAGAATACTACCTAATATATCAAAAGGAGGGAGAGCCTTTGCCACATTCAGCCTCTGTGCGAATTAGCCGGCAGTCAACCGAGTTCAGTGTACCGGTTCGTCGTCGTGGTGGTGGTAATTAGCAGTAAATTAACAGCAACAACTACAACAACAACAACAAAGACGAGAAGAAGAAGATCAAACGGCTCAGAGACCGTCGAACCTTTCTCGATTCGACAAGAGCAGATGAAAAAAGAAACTACAAAGTGCAACAACTCGAAAAGGCACTGTTTAGGACAGCAACGCCTGCTGCTGAAAAAGTGCTGCACAAGTTGCACCACAGTTGTAGCAGTACACTTCTATTCCCAATTCTTTCCCAACCAAACTATGAACAACAATAAACAAGAAAAGAGTGGTACGATGCTGTGCTGCGCTGTGCTCTGATGTTGCACACATCGACGATCACTTCTGCTGCAGACACACTAAACTGCGAAATAAAAAATAAGCAACAAAATTCAACTCAAACGTTTGAGACATTTCAGCATTCCATCACTCTCACGACTACTCCATCCTCAACAGTAAAAGTGAACAGCAGTTAAATAAAAGGCAACAATCAGACTACTTAACTTTAAAATTGCGGCGTTTTAAACGCAAAAAAAGCAGCGAAAGAAGAAAAATCAGCCTGACAGGTAGTCGGTGGGAAAACAATGCTAGCAAAAAAACAGACAGACAGCCTCATTCAGTAAATCGACGACCTGCCTGACACTCTGACAGCTTTAGTATGTGGTGGTGGTGGTAAAGCAACGCTTTTGTGGTGGCACTAAACTGCAGCACTGACACTAAACGGCTTGCTTTCGCTAAATCGTTCAGCAGCAACAGCAACAGAAGCAGTCACTTGAGCAAGGAAAGTAGCCATTCAGTCAGTCAGTCAGTCAGTCAGTCAGACAGCGAAATAAACGACACATAGAAAAGGAAAAAAAGAAAAATGAGGAAAAGAAGAAACAAAAATGTCTGCCAGCAAAAATCTCCATTTTCGCTTATCAGATTGAATCTCCCCCAGACAGAGAAGTGTGGTGTCCACCACCGCCACCACCACACCTTCACCGGTTGACCAGACAAACCGTGTCAACAGCAGCAGCAGCAGCAGACCGCGAAGTGCCGTGCTTATAAAACATGTCAAAGCGATTAAAAGCCGCCCAATGATCTGCTGAAATTAAAAATGGAAGTGAAATCAGAAACAAACACTAAAGAGCTAGTAAAACACACAAAGAAGTGTATTGGCAGAGGTGATAATAGAGAGGGAGGCAATTAGAGGAGATTAGTGTCTGCGGGCTAAACAAACAGCTCACTAAACACCTCAACCCACTTTCAAAGTCAACAGCAAAGTCTGCCGCAGAGTTGACGACCTCCACAGCAGCAGCAACAACAAAACTGAACACCAAAAAACAGCACTAACCAATACCTGCTTCGAGCATCTAAATTGAGCCGCCTTGATCCGAGCGTGCAAAAACACTCACTTCCCCTCACCTACCTCCACCAGCTACACCACCTTACTCTGTTTTCTGTTTCGTTTTTCTCTCTGTCGCCAACCAACAAATCAGTCAGTGTCAGTGGCAGCAAATTGAGCAAGGCTGACACTGGGGCTGCAAAGATGGAAGACAGCGTCGGCGGCGGTGGCAATCGTCAAATCGTCGATCGCTGTGTTTCGGAACTAAAAAATCAGTCAACAAACAGTATAGCACACACCACATTTTTCTAAACGCTCAATTGAGCTCAGCAAGAGAGAGCGAACTAGAAAGCTCGTTCGATCAGCTTGGGCGGACACGCAATTAGCAGCAGCTCAGCTCAGTTGTGCAAGTAGTGCACTTACTCACTCACTTGGTGTGCTCTACAATATCAGCAGCAGTTTTCAGACCAAAAACACGGGCAATTAGCTCATTTTCAACGCCAGTCACAGCACTACACTACACTACTACTTCAAGGGTAATCTGCCCCTGCCTTCCCCCGGATAGCAGACATGGAGCATACATTTTTGTGTGTTATATAAAACAAAACTGCCAATACTACTGCTGACAAAGCATGCCTAGTCTGGCTCTCTTTCTCTCTCTCTCTCTCTCGCTCTCACTTTCTCCGATCACTTTCTCTCGTGTCAGTTTTTTTGCCTATTTCCAATCGCAATGGCAAACATAAGCAGCAGCAGTAGTCAATCGGTGTTCATCGGTGGTGCAGTCAGCAGCAGCAGAAACGAAGACAGTAGACAACGAAACAGCTGAGAACTGCAACAAGTGGTGGTGATAGTGATGGTGGTCGTGGTGACAGTGCGACCATTGACCGACTTACACATTGCAGAATGGTCAACTCTATGAATGAGTGCGTTCACCTGTCTCCTTCATCATCAGCACCAGCTTCGTCATCATCATCATCATCAGGCACCGCAGTCACCAGCAGTTGTGACCAGCAGCAGCCATGTCGTCGTTGTCGTCGTCGGTGACCACGACCACAGCCAGTGACCACGAGTGGCCAGAATGAGTGACACCTGACACAACCAACTGCACACCACCACCAGTTCAATGTCTTATCTGTGATCATCACCACCACCAGCACTCTGCACTACTGCACCACTACTGCACAGCAAAGCACACCATTCAAATCGACATTACTTCTAATACAGCAATATATCCTATTTTATCATCCTCAATTTATCACACCATGGTGGAGAAGACCCTGGTCCTCCGTCTGCTCATCTACGGCATCATCACGCAAGTGACAGACAAGGAGCACGCCTGCGGCACCGGCACCGCCTCCTCCAGCACCAGCTTCCGCCGACCGGACGGCATCACCATCGTCTGTGTGCCGCNGTGGAGAAGACCCTGGTCCTCCGTCTGCTCATCTACGGCATCATCACGCAAGTGACAGACAAGGAGCACGCCTGCGGCACCGGCACCGCCTCCTCCAGCACCAGCTTCCGCCGACCGGACGGCATCACCATCGTCTGTGTGCCGCTGCCGGCGGCCAACATGGCCGGTGGCACTGACTCTTCATCATCCTCATCATCTTCCTCATCCTCATCCTCCTTCTCAGCAGGAAGTGAATCACTGAGTAAGCACGGAATCACCCTGAGGATAGCGCCAAATACTGCCGGCTTTGAGACGTCGATAGAGAAGAAGTCGGAGAAGGGGCTGGCGACAAAGAGCTCCTCCAAGATGAACAAGGGTGATCATCACGAGAAAGAGAAGGAAAAGGAGGAAGAGGAGGAGGAGGAGGCCTACAGCACCACCACCACAGTGCCCTACAGTGAGGACAGTGACTCGAGGGCAAAGAGAAGGACGCCCAAAACGACAACCACCACCACCACCACCACCACTGCCAAACCATCAAAGTCCACTCATAAACACAAAGAGGAGGAAGAGGAAGAGGACGAGGTGGACGACGAAGCGGACGTTCGCGACAAGCGAAAAGCTTCCGCCCACAGCAAAGATGAAGAGGAGAAGGAGGAGGAGAAGGAGGAGAAAAAGAGTTCAAAGCCAAAATACGTGCCTAAAACGACGACCACGACCACGACCACACCGCCGCCAAATCGCTCAAAGAGAAAAGAACGGGTAGACCGAAGTGCCGTCGAGTACGAGGGCAAAAAGGAAAAAGAAGAGGAGAAAGAGGAGGACGCAGAAGAGGAAGAAGAAGAGAAAAAGAAAGAGGAGGAAAAACCAAAGGCGAAAGCAAAGCCTAAAAGCAAAGGCAAGTCCAAATTAGCATCCGCCAAATCATCCGAGGATACTCACACCACCACCACCACTACCACTGAATCACCCAAAGTTGTTCACAGTAAAAAGGCCGAGCCAGTAGCGTTGGCCCACCACCGCGACCACCTCGCCGACATCGGCACCGACGAGGACGAGGTGGAGCAGTACATACTGATAAGACGGCGGAAGAAGCCTAGGGGAAAGGCAAAGGCCAGCAGCAATGGCAATGACCATCACGAGAGCAGCGGCAGCAGCAGCAAACCAGTGGACATTATGCTGCCATTGGCCTCCAGCGACTCAGAGACTGCCACAGCCGCAGCCACCGATGTCACCGTGGAGGTGATCACCACCGCCAAGGAAAAGACTATAACGAGATCGTCGTCGTCGTCGTCAAAGCAAAGCTCAGACGGCGACGATGATGTCGGAGAAGACAATGGCGGTGGTGACGATGGTGGTGGTGAGGTGAAGAAGAAGAAGAAGAAAACGACCACCAAGACCACCACCACGACAACCATCACAAAGGAGAGCTCAAAAAATTCAGACGCGAGCAAGCGAGAAGGCTCCTTGAAGAGCAAAAGGAGAAAGAAGGGGAAGAAGAATAAAAACGATATAAGTGAGGAATCGCCCGCAGAGGACAGCCACAACAAAGTCGACAGCGGTGGTGGTGAAAAGCAGGCGACAAAGACGACAACAGTCAAACAAAGGAGGAAAAAGGATGGTAAAACAAAGGCCCATAAAGATGAAGTCGGCGATGCTGACAGTGTGAACAAAGATGAACAGTCTGCAGCGAGCAGGAAGCGGAAAAAGTCAACAAAAAACGTCAGCAAAAAGAACGTCGCGGCGGAGGAGGAGGAAACGAGTGGAGGCGACGGCCAAGCGGAGATTAAGAAGCGCCACATTGAGGAGGAGGAGGAGGAGGCCACTGAGGCGCCGCCGCCGCCAAAGGCGAAAAAGAAGAAGTCGAAAAAGAAGTCGGAAAAGGCTAAAAAGACCAAATCAGACGACGGCGATGATGGCGATGGCAGCAAACCGGCGAGCAAAGCAAAGCGCAGCAACAGCGAGGACTACAGTAGCAATGCAATTGACGATGCGGTGCTGCACCATCACATCGACGAAAAGCTGCCGGCATTGGCGGAGAAGCTGATTCCACCCGGCTCAAAGCACCACATCTTCGTCATTCACGTGCCAATAACAACGACGACAGGTCACAATGATCATGGTGGTGGTAAACACCAAAAGGAGTTCACCACCACGCTGACGGCGCCCGAGACGGTGACGGGCAAAAAGGAGGAGGACAACTTCAACCACTTTCTAAAGGTGTTCAACTTTTCACAGGAGGACGCGGTGGCGCACGGCCTGAAGGAGGTGGCCAAAACGGAGAAGGAGCTACTGCACGAGAAGGTGGAGAAGCCTCACACTGAAGAGGAGGCTGATGAAAAGCTGAAACCTCATGATGAACATGATGAACATAAAAAGAGCGAGCCGATCCAGGATCGCGACGACAACTACGGCGGAGTG